TTCTTTCTTGGATTGATTTCTAAGAGCTCTTTTTTTCCTCTTTTGCATCCAGGAATTAAATAGCTTTAATTACTTGGATCTGTACAGACTTGCTGACCTCTTTAACCTCACTTTGTTGGAGAAAGCGGTGATCGATTTCTTAGTGAAACATCTCTCTGAACTCCTGAAGAGCCGCCCAGAAGATGTTCTGACGCTCCCTTATTGCCTGCTCCAGGAGGTCCTGAAGAGTGACCGGCTGACCTCCCTGAGTGAGGAGCAGATCTGGCAGGTAAGGGCACTCTGCTCAGGTCCTCTGTTGGTATCAAGAAGGTCTGACATGATTCGATGCTACAGGATGGAGGAGCAATGCATGATTTTGTCTGTGGTTGACGATTGAGAAGCCCTGCTCCCTTCAGAGGTAAGTAAGTGCCTTGAACATGCCAGCACTTGAGGCACACAGGCCTGAGCCAACTGTGCCATTTAAATTCACGGGACAACAGGAGGTGAGATTCCTAAAATCCTCCTTGCGGCTTCCCAAAGCCCTAACCTGTTCACATCAGAAGGAGTGAAGGGATTGCTTTCCTCAGAAGAAGAATTATTTTCAATTCTGAAACTGAATATGAGAAAAAAATAGATTTTACAATGAGATGTATGCATATTCAGTATGAGTACGGTCAGAATTAATTCTGGATTTTCTGGTAAACAATTCAGAAACATTTCTTGATTTCAGTAGAGAGCAGCTTGGACCTTCAATGAAATAATTCTCTTCTTGTACTTTGGTGGGAAGAATGTCCCTCCTCAGTCCATTCTGTACTCATTGCTGTTTTCCTAAGGCCTGCCTTTTTGTCTCACGTTGCATTCTTTTCACATTGTCTGGGGGACAGGAGGATATTTGGGTTTGGAAGTTGATTATTCAGTTTAGATCCCCTCTGCTCATCCCTAGTGACTATCCTTGAATAATGTACCTAATGTCTTTGGGAAATGGAGCCCATCTTCCTCCTTCCTCTAGCACTGTTGGTCTCGCTGTCTGAAACACTGCCTAGACGTTTTGTTACTTCTACAGTACTCTGTCCTCAGGATTGTTTGAAAAATTACTATATGCTGAATATGGGGAAATATTTCAAGGACTCTATTTGCTGATAAGACAGTAAATTTCTGATATGCAGTATATTCTGAGAATACTGTAATTTTGGCCCAAACTGAATCATATATGTTAATTATCAGTATCTGACTCTAGAGATGGATGATTCTCCCTCCCTCCCTCCCTCCATCGCTCTCTCTCTTCTTCCCCCCACCTTTCTTTTTTTCTTCCATCTGCAGCATCCCTTTTTGGTTTTGAGAATAATAAAGCCTACAGTATACTTAGGATCTTACTAGGCTCAGGCTCTTTAAAACAGTAGCACCTATCATCACAACAGGACCCCCCTAAAATGACTACTACCGTCATCACTTTCCAGATAAACTAAGTAAGACTTCAGTGTCTTGCTGAGAATTACAGAGGAGAGCCAGCCTTCAAGTCGATGTATGCAAACACCTGGACCATTTCTCCACTGTTCCATATTGTCATGATTTTTTTAAATTTTATAATTTCTTCTTTTTGGGTATTTCTGGGAATGTACTATAACAAGCAGTTGAAAATACTGGTGACAAAGAGATTTTGGTAGAGATTTCACTGATATCCACCTCTTCCCTTATGCCAAAAAATCATCAGTGTTTACTTTGGGGTCAATCAAAATGGAAAGTGGCAGAATTTTCTTTACTTCCCTGTAGAAAAAGAAAGACTTAGGATGGATTCTATGTCTAATTTTTTCTAAGTGAGGTGAGTTCTGAGGCCACCCCTCCATGCGCCTATTTCTCTTATTGTGACACGGTTGAAGGCAAGGCCAGCAATCCACATGGACTGTGTAGATGTCTGAGTGTCAAGGAAATTCTATTCTGTCCACCTAAGAGTTATCGTAATTGCCTCTCTAAAGGTTAGCAGTGATATAATGTAGAATTTTAAAAACTGGCTTCCGCTGCAGGCAAAGCTTTTTTTTTAAGACCTGTTCCTCAAGAAAGAATTAAAAGACTCACATAAGTATTATCAATTTAGGCACTCAGCTGGCAATAAGAAACTGTTTTTGCTTTATCTTAGTAAATAAGTAATTCCTTCACACTCAACTCAATAGAGAAAAATCAAATCAGACCAGCTATACTGCCTCAAGTATAGTTAAGTTCATCGTTTTTGCTGAGGTTATACTAGTAATGCAATAAACCACGGAAGAATCTAATATTCAGCCCAGGGTGAAGATTGGGTATGCCAGAGGCTTGGTGTCAGGGTGCTTTATAGAAGTGAAACTTGATGGACAGGCTGGAGACAGATCTACAGAATCTCATTAAATTGCTGAATTGTTCATTACGGAACGTTCTCACTGTAATAAAGTGCTCATTGACTTTGACAAATCCCCATCCCATGTCTTAAAGAAGAACAGTGAAGCAAGGGGTGTTGGGGAAGAGAAAGGAAATTGGCACAAAGTAGGACAGGTAATGGAAAAGCGGATGGCGGAATAATGCTATTTGATTAATATGTGCAACCTGTAACTTAGGTGAGAGCACAGTGAAAGCGCACACACGTTTACCCAGGTGGCTGTTCTGCTATGTACTGATAATGTAATCTGAGACAATACCTTTTTTGGTGAAAGGTCTAATTTTCATTATTCACCAGGCTTCACACAGTCTGGCTCTGAAGACCTGTCATAAGAACCTTCACATTATCCTTTCAGAACAAACTTTTTTATCTTTCCCCGCTGGTTGTTTCCCAGTCCCTTTCCCTGATAAAATGTGCTACAGGCTACAGTAACCATTCTGTGGATCTGTACATCTGTGGATCTGTGAAATCCTGCCAAGATCATACTTTATAGCTGCTCTTTTTTTCTATTTAACCTTTCTAAATAAACATTGTCTCTTCTTTCACAGAGGGCTTCTTGGTTCCTCCTAGATGTTTTTTTTCCTTTTTTCCAAAACCTGAAACCATTTGGTCTGTTGATAAACTTTACAGTGTATTCAGGGGTAACATAGAAACTTATGCCACAATAGCATATCAGATGTATAAAGATATTTTATTCTCTCAAAAAAAAATAATGTTTTTTAGCTGGGTATGGTAGTGCATTCCTGTAATCCCAGCACTCTGGGAGGCTGAGGCAGGGGGATCATAAATTCTAACCTAGCCTTCGAATCTTAGTGCCTTAGTGAGAACCTGTCTCAAAATAAAATAATTTTAAAAGACTGGGTATGTAGCTCAATTATGAAGACCCTAGGTTCAATCTCCCACAAAATTATTTCTTTTTAAATTTAGTTCGATTCAGATTAATAATTGGGTTTTAAGTTTCAAGGCCAGTGGTTTCTCAGGTTCCAGATGCCATTACTGGGCTCAAAGAAAGGATATTAAAATAAGCAAATCAGCCAAAGAAGAAGTATGGGGCATGAAGGCCTTGTATTAGTGACCCAACATATCCCCACCAGTTTTAACATGCTTTCAAGGTTAGTTGTGAACTTTATTAGAACTTTACTTTAATAGGGTCCTATTAAATATTTTCTGTTAATCGCAACATATAATTTTAGGCTGTGGAGCCAAGGTCCTTCCATAAGGAGACAGGGGATAGGAGAAATGAGGAGATAATGGCCAAAGGGTACAAAACATTCAGTTCTAAGATGCACAAGCCCGGGGTTACTTGAGTGGTACTGAATATGTTAAGTAATTAGACTGTGCTAATCATTACACAGTGTATATGCATATTAATTCATCAAGTTGTATACCTTGATTATATATAATCCTGATTTGTTGATTAGTTTTAAATAAGCCAAAGCAACAATTTTTTTATTTTAAAAAATGAGATAATTAAATAATTTAGTACCACTCCTGTATAGTAGACCTGTTTTCAGCAAGATTCCTGTTCCATGGGAGTGCAATTTGTAGGAAAAAAAAGTCTGAATATAACATAAATTCTCAGATAAACTAACCAAAGGAGAAGGTATGGCTCTGCAGCCATTAGTAATTCCTGAGGACTTTACTAAGTGTCCTAAGCCGGTATGGAGAGGAAGGCAGAGGATAAGTCTTCTAACTCCATTTTTCTCTCTCAGGCCTTACTGTAAGAGGGAGAGATCCTTGTGGTTTTAAATCATTAATACACCTCTATACATTATTAGTTTATCTCTGAAATAGCAAAAATCAAACGCTATTTTAATGGACTAAGATAGCATATGAAAACAAAAGTGAATATTTCTCGAGTATCTGATATTTCCTAGGCACTGTTGGAAACTAGGTCCCTAAAAAGCTGTACAAAAGTGTTAAGTATTGAGTTGGAGAGATTTATTTCACTTTCATTTCTGAATATGGAATTGTTTTTATCTGTCTTTAACTATTTATAGTTTTCTAAGTTTAGTGAGGAGGACTTACTATTTTGTAGGGGTGGGATTTTTCTGATTTTTTAATTGAGTTTATTGGTACATTTAGGTATACAGTACAGTTACATTCATCACTGGGATCTTGTACCTTTACATGACAGGTCTTGGTTCTCATTTTTCCCCATTCCCCTGCCCTCCCTTCACCCGCTCCTCCCTTTCCTATTTACAAAGACTTTGTTTCCATTCTTTCCTTTTCTCATATTTTTTCTTTTCCTTTCTTTCCTTTTCCTTCCCCTTCCCACTTTTCCTACTCCTTTAGACTTTTTCTTCCTATTTCACATTATCAATTGGGGTGATACTTTTCTATGTTAATCTTGGGATCTTATCAATGCTTTTTTTCCTTATTAACTTGGGATTTGAGGGTTCCTCTTACTTATATTTCGAGCCTTACTTCCTGGACTTAAATGGATACTAAGACAAAACAGTTAATTGGTCACATTAACCTAAGTGTGTCAAACACACTAAGGTCAGACCTGAGCAGAGAGCATCTACTTAGTCCTAGTAATGTGCCATTTTAGTATGGCAAAGAGGGACCATGTCATCTGTGCTGCAACTGTGGGAATATCCTGTTTACCTTTATCTTCAGTTACATACTCCCAAAGGCAGAGGCTGAGCCTATAATGTGTGCACTGTATACTGCTACATCCTTCTCTCTAACTCTGTAAATAATAAAGAAAAACAATAATGTAGAGTTTTCAGATTAAAATGTATTAACTGGATAATAAAATATACTGTTATTCCTACATAAGGTTGTATTTATTCTGAGAAAAGTAGTATACAAAATGAGTTTGGCCTTTTAAAGACTGCCTTTTCCTTATATTTTTGCTGGAAATTTGCTTTCATAAA